CTGACTTAACCCTTTGAGCAAATTATGATAGGTAGTTTCTTTCAGTGGTTACAGTAGCTGATTAAAATATGTCAGTAATACATTTATTGTGGGCCTTTATCATTTTTAAAAGCTCTTAAACCAATATTGCAAAGTCAACTTTGCATAATCAACTATCTGACTTATTAGCTTTCTAAACTGAGTCCTAAAAATTAGCCCATGGCATTTATTTATTTATTTATTTATTTATTTATTTATTTATTATTATTATTATTATTATTATTATTATTATTATTATTATTATTATTATTATTATTATTATTTTATTTTATTTTTTTTTTTTTTGGTAAACAGGGTCCTTGAAATTGTAAATATGTGTTCTGATCATGAAGCTATTTGTAGTTTGGTATACAACAGGGAGTCGTTAAGAAAATTGCATCCATTACTTAATGGTGTTGCAATGGTAATCCTTCAAGTTAATGATCATCATTGAGTTATAGTGATGGAGTAGGCACAGTGAACTGGGGCTTTATGTGATTTTTAGGAGATTTGGTACTTATATTTTATAGTAACTTAATGCATCTATACACAATTTATTGGTGTTTATACATGTATATCATAGCATCCATTTACCCTTTACTGGATTTCTATTATTATAGTGCTTTCTTGACTTCTGTAGTACATTGATAGACGCTTATTTACAGAAGGATCATGATTACATACCATAATGCATACATACTAAATTGTGAGATTATGTTTTGGTATTCAATATTTAATGGGGTTTTCATGTGATTTACTAGTGTTTACTTATCGTAGAAATGTTTCCATACAACTTCAGGCACATGCCTAATAAAACTATCGGTCTATGTAGATCAGTCCAATTCCAAAGGGACTCGTACCAATTCCTGGCACTGAGTAGAATACAGAATAGCCGGTGATGTAGGGGTGGATCCAGGATTATTTGAAGGGGGGGTCCGCGGATACAAAGCTGACCTTCCCCCCACTTGGGGTGGGGTTCAGGACCCGCTGAAGGGCTCTGAAAAATTTTGGTATTTTACAGGGCAAAAGGTGCCATTTGGTATGGTTTAGAACCATGATTCAGCTAGTCAAAATTCTAATTTCAAGAGGGGACCAGAAATCTAGGGGGGTCAGGACCCCCCTGAATCCCCCTCTAAAACCGCCACTGTGATGATATGGGTACATTGGTAGCAAGAGGAGGCATGTTAATCTGAGTTGGATTGATCAACATAGTCCGATATTTTTATTGGGAATGAGCTCTTAGTGGAGGGTAGCATCATTGTCACTTAAAGTACTCTATGTAGTGAACCACAGAGAGAGTGTAACATTCCTCCATGCTAATGACTGAATTTGTAATAGTTTCCATCAAAAGAGAGAGAGGGGCAAGATGTGTGAATGGCCTTAATGGCTTTTATCACTTTTTTTGCAGGAAGATGAACATTTTTTTAGCGACAAGATGTAGATAAATTGCACTGAGGAGCCACTTAGGTGTTCTAACTTGTAATTTATTTTAGGGGCGGACATATTTTTGCTGTCGAGAGTGGTTACTATATCATTAAGATATAATCTCTGATACTGTTGATAAAAAAATTGTGAGGGGGACTGGAATATTTGTTGTTGTATGTTTTAACTAGTTGAATTCAAGTTATCTACCTTTGACATATTGGGTTTGCGAAAGGTTTTATTTACAAAAAAAAAAAAATGTTCATCATTTTAAAGTAAAAAATGTTAGCCTTATAAATTGGTGTTATTTTTGTCCCCAAATATTTTGTTTTATAAAATTGGTACAATATTTCTTTTCAGTGATTTTTACATAAGAATATTGGTACAGTATTTCTTTTCATTGATTTTACACAAGTCAAAGTAGTCTATAGGTTTTGCCCTTCAGGCTACAACTAATAATTCAGTCTGGTCGTATAGTGACACCGTTGGGTATACCTAATGTCCAGTGGTGAATCAATATCCTATAATAATAATAATAATGATAATGATAATAATCATAATCATAATAGTAATCCCAAGCCGTTTGTAATGTCCAACACTGACCATGGTGTATAGTACTTTCTCTCCCAGAGATACATTGACCGGCAGCTGTCATATTGATTGGGCCAGTGTTAGAGCAGGACTTTTAATTAACCAACTGCTGATGAGGTTCCCAGGGGGGAAAAATATACTGTTGGGTCTGTTCAGACCTTAGAGGATCTGGATTGAAATATGGGCAAACTTGTGTCTACCTCATCAGGTGGCTGGATATATACACACACACACACACACACACACACACACACACACTAAGAGCCTATTCAGAAAATGTGATCCCAGGATCTACTGATCCATGGATCAAATATGGCAGACCCTACATGGTTGGATATATATATATATATCCAACCATCCAATATATATACTAAATGTGTGTTGTTTTTGGTTGTTTGTGAGAGGTCTACCAAGATATTGATTAAAATGGTGAAGTCAAATGGAGTTTCACTTGTATTGGTTAATTGGTCTGATGACACAGGCAAGGAAGCTTTCTCAGTCTTAAGTCTTCCTTGTGTAGGCACACAGAAATGTATTATTTTTTGCTGCTGGTAATTTTATTGATAATTAAACAGACAGTTTGTTATATGGCACAGATAATTTCTTATACACTTCACTTCTGTTGCATGGAAGACATTTGTAAAAGTGAGGTATAAGCTTTGCCAAGGTGCAGAATATTAAAGAAAGATACCATTAAGGTGAAAAACCAGATTAGGCCAATTTCCCATCTGTCAACTGCCTTCCAAAATAAAATACACTAAATAAACAATGACATTTTATTTTTGAAACATATTTCACCTATCCAATTTTCACTTTTTTAGCACCTAGCTTACACCAGAAGGAGATGCTAAGTGCATCACTGCTTAACAACAGATTACGTAAAACAACTTACGACCAGCTACTTGTTTTAGAAAATATGTGGAATCGAGCACTGTCTTGTCAAGAGTAATACAAATTTTACAATCAATGGTTTAGTTACCATTATAGTGGAATAATCTTCTTTAATCTTAATCATACAACTTAGATGTACTAACATGCGATTCACATGTCATTGTGTGTGCAAGATTACGTCTTACATATATCAGTGCGTGGCTTAACATACTTCAGAGACACAATTCCCTTAATTGATTGAAATTAATGTATGAACTGAACAGAATTGGCATCTTGATATGTTCGGAGCTTAATTTGGAAAACCTGGTATTGATCTGTGTTTTAGTGCATGCTCTGGAAAGTTTGTTGATATTTGTTTGCTTTAGGAATATTTCTGTGAAGGAGTTTGTGTTACCTATATGTATTAAGTTTTTATGAAAGATGTCTTTTGTTCTATAGTATTTTTTTCCATTTTTTTGGGG